TTTGTGGGTTTTGTTTTGGTTTTGTTGTTGTTGTTATGGCTTATTTCGCAGCTTTTTTTTTTTTTTTCCCTTTACTTCAACAGCTTTTTAAAAATTCACTTACTCCCGCCCGACTCCCTTGGTCGTCCGCTGTGCTGGGAAGCCGAGCTCACAGCATACCGTTTGCACTGATTCAGAAAGGAAATGTTCCTTTTCCTTTCGAGATTACAGATAGACACAGAGGAGCGTTGCGGTATCTTAGGGGGTTTATTTTATTTTATTCTGCTGGAACAAAGAAATGGAAATATTTAAAAATTTATTTTTAGGGTCACATGGGGCTTTGTTTTTCTTTTCTCCCTCCTTCTGGCAAGCGTATTTTACCGCGAGAATTTAATCCTTCAGATAAATTGTCTAACATTATCTTTTTCCTCTGGAGACGAGATCAACTGCTTTCTCATCCACCCCCCAACCCCCCCCGCCCCTCCTTCCTGCTAGTAGCACTGATTGTAATGTACAGCTGGACAAGTGTCAGCCGTCCAAGACTGCGAACAGCCAGTGGAGGCTTAAGTTGTATTTATTCAATTATTATTTTTTTATCTCCTTGGGGGAAAAAAACATACGAAACAAAAAAAAAAATCATAAAGTAAAAAATTTGTCAAAGTAAGCGCATCAAACGTGGTCTTGGGTCCCCCTGAGCCAAGGCTTCCACGCTGGGTGTTCAGCGTGACCGTCAGCCAGCCTCAGCTCTCAATTAGAGGCGATTCATTAGGATTTTAATAGCAGGTGCAAAGCCATCTCCTTGCCAGCAGCACTGCCGTTTGGGTCGGGAATCGTCCTGTTTTATTGCAGCCTCTGACTCTCCCGGCTCATTCTAAACCTGACTGCCACTCTGGATAACGGGGTGTCGGCGCGCCTGCGACTGCCCGCACGTAAGCGTTGCACTTTGTTTAGCTAATTTCTCCCTGCCAAGACACAAGGTGGAAATCTGCCTGGCTCGATATTTATTTTGGAAGACAGCGCTGTGAGCAAATGCGCTGTGAGAAATCGGGCTGAGATAAAGCAAGCGCTGGGCCGGGGGCTGGGGGGAGCGAGGTGGATGGGGGCGTAGCCCGCCCGCGGAATGCACCGCTTTGGCTTTCTCGAAGTCCCAAACAGACAAATAAACAAACAACCTCGGTAGCAAATTCAGAAGAGTCGGAGCCTTCGGGGTTCAAAAGCGGGCTGTACCGAGGAGCCTCGGGGCTGGAGTGCCGCGTCCCACTGCACCCGCATCCCAGCTGGCGGCCCGGCCGGGCCGGGGCTTGGAAAGCGTCGCCGTGATTACACCCAAGTGGAGAGCAGGATGGCTCCGAGCCGTCTGATCTGACGTCAACATGTCTCTAGCTCCTCGCTGCAAGATAGAGGGAGCAGAGCCGGGGGAGGGACGGCTCTAATCATTCCCAGATGTCTCTAATAGCAGATATAAAGACTTATATAGTGTCTGAGAATAAATTTGTAATCAATGCTCTAAAATCGCATCATCAAAGCAATGGTATTTCTAGACGAAAACGGGGCTGGGGGGAGGGAAAAATGAGGAAGAGGGAGACACACACCACGCTGGTTTGGAAGGAGGGAGGCACAGGGAACCTCAGAAATCCGCTGTCCGTGCTCATCACTTGGCTTTGCTAAAATTTATGTGAATATATAATTCAGATAACAACTCTGCTTTAGTCTCTATTGTATGTGTCAAGCTGAAACAGCTGAAAAGTAATTGGCCAATTAGAAATAGAAAAGATCGTAACGGGTTTGCAAAGGCATATATTTCATGGCCTGCAGAAAAAAAAAATCCCAAATTAAAAATGTATAAAACATTGATAAGCCCTTCGTTACAGCAGAGGGGATTATGTCTGTAGGCGTGCAGGATAAGTTTCCTTCCCATCGCTTCTTGGAGATTTCTTCTGGGTGTATTTGTGAGTCGCTGGGCTAGTACGTGTGAAAAAGGAGGATTAAGGCTGGGTTTCCAAGAGCAAAAGGAGGAAATTTTCTTTAGAGGTTTTATTATTAACCTTTCCTCCCCACCTCCCTGCCCACCTTTCAAGTTCATGTTGTCTCCATGGTATCGCCTAGTCTTGTTTATATCCCGCGTATGGCCCAGCGCTTGTTCTGGGGGTGCCTTTGGCTTGGTCGAGAGGCCCCGTTGAACCTCTTTGACAGGGATATCAAATGAGAAATAATTATTGCAGTAGTCTTTTGAGGTAAAGAGGAGCTCCTGGGAACCACGGAGGAGAGGGGAGTATGTGTGAAAAAAAAATCTCCATGCGCAACACTAAGCAAAATGAAGGAAAAAAAAAGCCTCACCACATTTTTTTATCTTTTTCTTGCCGGAGTGCAGGCATGCCATACACATCCGATAGCAACGAAGTCCCGCATGTTGCAGAGTCCCCCAAAACTCAGCACTGCCAGCGGCTGATAGGCTCGCTGCCAGCAGCGGAGCACAGAGCCGTCCCCGCTTTCCAAAATCCGGACGAGCTCTAAAAATCCACACTGCTATCTGCCTCGGGGCCCCCGGGGCACACGCAGCCGCTGGGCAGGTCCTGCCTCCCTGCGAGGGGGCGACCGCGCTGTTTCGGGGCTGCAGCCGGGCCCGCACCCCGGGGAACCGAGGGGCCGCTCCCTGGGAGGGAAGGGGAGGCGGGACGTCACTCGGGGGAGTTTTGTCACTCTTCCTTTTCAAAAAAATCAACATGTTGTGTTCTCTTGAAAGAGAGCAGAGGCTCTCGCTCCCTTAGCCGTGAAACGAAGTTACAAGACTAAAATAGGGATCCGTGAGTCAATCTGCGGGAACAGGGCTTCAGTGACCGGGCTGCTCTCCACCCTGCCCTCCCTTCTCTCTTCCGCCCTGCACCCACAGAGGAAAGTTGCAGAGTGGGAAAGGCTGCTATCCCTCCTCTTACGTGCCTTTAACCTCGGTAAAAGCTCCCAAAAATATTCTGGCCTCGAGGAATTACCGGACAGATCGACGGGATGCCGATGCCCCCGGGTGCAGGCAGGATGCGGAGCGCAGCTCTCCGCTGTTATCAGGCCTTGGCTCCGCCGGCGGAGAGCTGAGGCCAGGGCACCGACATCCCCATCTACCATCAATTTACCTTCTGCTTCCCCATTTAGCTTTTAACGTCAAAACCTACATTTTTGTCGGCTCCGGTCTGTCTAGGGCTCGTGTGATTTAGCTGCGGGAATGGCTGCTCCTGAGAAAATAGCAACATCCTCGTTAGTGAACAATTAAAAGAGATCCTCCTTAGCGGATTCAAAGGGGCTCCCGGTTCTGATGAACTGACGTTACAAAACCGGGATATTATTAATGTGGAAATACTGGACAGGCGATTCAGAGATCGGATATTGGAGCCGCCCGCCGGCCCTACCGCGCATCCCTCGGGGGAGTTGCAACCCGGTGACTTGGTCGAGGGAAGACACAGTATCTGCAGAGAGGCTGCCCATGATAGGCCCCACCGCAGCATTCGCAGACACCCCTCACCCCTTTTATTTCACCCTGTGCCGCTACAAAAAAAAAAAAAAAACCAAAACAAACAAACAAACAAAAAAAACACACCAAAAAAACCACCAAAAACAGAACAAAAAAAAAAAAAAAAACACCCCAAAAAACACCCCAAAACAAAAACAAGCAAACAAACAAAAAACACAAAAAAAACCACAAAAAAAAACCCCAAAAAATTCTTTGAGCAAGGAACGCAGAGTCGGGAGAAGCTCCAGTTCATCAGCTGGGCAATTAATAGACAAGGAAAAGCAAACAAGGGGGCAGATTCTTCTCTCCTAGTGTTTTAAACAGAGGCAAGTGTCTGTAAACACAGACCCACGCCGGATAGCAGAGCCGGGCTGCCTGACCCGACGGGAGGGAGGGCACATCACTTTTGTCTGGTTGTTGTAACCCCGCAACCTCCCCACTGTCAGCAGGGGCGGCGAAACGGCGCTGGGGCTCCCTTATCTTTTTATGGGCAATTGCACATCTACCTACGCTTACTGCTGGGTCTCGTTGGGAACCACTTCCTTAGGCGCGGTGGCACGGGAAGGCTGGCAGGCATGCAGCCCTGGACCTGGAGAGAGACCCAGCTTGGTTTAAGTAGAGATGATTTACGTAAAAGTTTAAAATACGAGCCCTAATTTTATTATGGAAAAGGTTAAAAACCTTGCCCTTAATCAGGAATTGACAAAAAAAATACCTAGACCAGCTTCCTTCAGTGAAAACCTTTCATTCTTTCCTTGCATGCCTACGATACAGGAGGATGCCATGCATTTCCCAGCATTAAACTCTCGCCCCGGTACTGGGGAGCAGAAAAGTCACGAGACTGGCACCGGGATCCTTGTAAAGGAGTCGATAGACGGGGCGAAATATTTAAGGGAAGAGAGATCGTATTGATGAAGCAATGAATGTACTAAAGAGAGCCAGAGAATGGGCTGCTACAATTTGCAGCTGGATAAAAAAGTTAAAAATAATTATACTCGCTCTGGCGTACTGGAAACCTGTAACCCAGGAGAATTTTAGGAACCACAAAGTTAATATTAAGTTCATCGTAGCTCATTGTAAATCTTACATATTCCCTACAGCACACCTTCCCCACCTCCCCTCTAAACCCCCGCAAATCCCTTGCCTTGTTCGCTCTTTCTTCTTGACGTAAAATTACCTGCTACATAATCACTCCGAGCAAAGCTCGCCGGCCTCCCTCGTCTGCCTCCGGCCCCTCTCCGGGAAGCCGCCCCCGCTGCGGGCCCGCGCCTGGCACGGCCGCCGCCCGGGCTCCGGCGGCACGCAAACCGCGCACTCCGCTGCTCCCGACGCGCCCGGGGTTTGCACCCGTGTCCACTTCCCGTTCGCAGTAGGTCTCCCGCTCGGAGAACACCACCACAAGGAATTCCTATTCAGATGAACTGCCGGTTTCTGTTCAACACTCACGGGGCTGAGAGATCCCTCCCTCTACCCCTCCTTTCATTCAGTCGCTTGTTTAAGAATAAAATTAGGAGCCATCTTTATAATTTAGTTTACTTCCGAATATTTTAAATATTATGAAAAAAAAAAGCCATAAACAACGCTGTTATTCAAAACATTTTGAGGTATAAAACATAAAAAGATTTGGATTTTCTTTTTTTTTTTCTTTTTCTTTTTTTTTTCTTTTGTAAAAAACACACACAGTGGTTTATTGAGTACTTACAACGTTTACACCTTCAATATTAATTAGATTCCACTTTTTCCCTTACGGACGGAAGTGCACATAACCAATAACTGTTGAAAACATCTTCAAATACTGAACGACCACAACAAAATTACAACACTAAATACCGAGTCAATCGAAACATTGGTGCAACTGCTTCTGTTGAAATATAGCTTTATAATCCCATGAATATTTATATCCAAAAGGCCAAGTATTAAAGATACACTTCACATACACACTAATGCCAGGGAGGGATTTTTTTTTTTTCCTTTTCTATGATTCTGTTTTCCCCACGTGTGTTATACAGAGCAAATAACATTCACGAAACATTTAGAGACATTACCCCTTACAAGCTGGAGTTTTCCTCTTCATATATGGAATGCTTTTTCCCTCTCCTTCAAATATCCACATTTTGGGGGGTTGGGGGAGAAATTGCACATAAATAAACTGGATTATTCCAAATACAAAGAGTCCTCAGAGGAGAGCTCACTACCGAGACTAAGAGGACGGCTCCTCCAGTCCTGCCGTGCTCACTGCTTGAGCTCCAAAGCCCAGACATGCTGCGGCCAGCCAGTCCTCCCTTTGGTTTTCTTATCGTTGCTGCTAACTGTGCTTTTCAAGATTTCGTTCTGGGGAGACAGGATGCGAGGGGAGAGAGAGAAACAGAAGGGGGAGAGGAGAGAAAAAAAGGTTAGATATATTCCTCCCCTTTCTAGGTCGCATCTGCTCTGCTTCGAGATCGAAAATTAGGAGGAGACCCGAGCTCACCGAGGCCTACGGGCTTCAAGAGCCATAACGGGGATCTCGCCGCGGGCGAAGCCGCCGCCCGTGGGAGCGGCGGAGGCCTATTCCCGCTCCGTGCCACCCCGCTGCTCTGCCGCAGCCGGAGCGCAGGGCTGGAGGCTGAGAAGCGCCAGCCATTTACGGGGATTACGATAAGGCCCCCCCTAAACCATTCCCTCCCTGAATGCGGGGAGAACCTGGGCACGTACCGGGGCAAAACACCGGACTTGCGGCCAGTAACATATGCGGGAATCCACCGCACGGGAGCACGCCACGGGGCCTACACGAAATTGGGCTTGCGCTGCCTGGCCTAAACCGACTCTCCCGTTAAAAATCAAAAAAGATGAAGCGCCGAGCGCAGAGGCAGGAAAGCCTCTCTCTGCGAACCTCGTACTTGCCGAAGGCTTAAAGCTGGGGCTGGGCTTAGCAGGTAATCATGCCTCCCCATTTTCATTTAAGAGAGCAGAGGCTTGCCTCCTGCGAGATCACGATTTGGGATACGGGACAAGAAGCAGCCCGGGAATAACCTCCCTGCGGGGCCCTGATGTGGCAGCCTTTTCCCCGCGGCTGCTCTCAGCTTCCGGGTCGGATCCGGACGCCGACGGCCGCTCGCGGCTGTGCACGGTCCCGCTTTTGGCCCGCAGCTACGGCCAGGGACCGGTGGGACCGAGGTGTCCCCCACGGGCATTCCCCGGCGACTCTGCCCAGCGAGGAGCCGGGTGCGCTCGGATGGGGCGCCGGAGGGCGACCGAGCAGCCTCCCCTCCGCTGCTCCCCCGCCCCGTCCCGCCCCGTCCCGTTCCGAAGCACTGACCAGCTCTTTCTTCCTCTTCTCTTCCTTCACGTCTGTCTTCTTGATCTCTGCCTTGAAAGCCTCCGCCTCCCCGTTCTGGTCGTCCTTCGCCAGCAGGTCCATGAGGTAGGCGATGTAGCTGGTGGCCAGACGGAGGGTTTTGATCTTGGAGAGCTTGGTGTCTGCGGGCACGTTGGGGATGCACTCCCTCAGCTCCGCGAAGGCGCTGTTGATGCTTTGAGTCCTGCGCCGCTCCTTGCGGTTCGCCGTGCCCCTGCGTTTCACCGGCCGGGGCCCCCCGAGCCCGGGCGGGCCGTTCCCGGGCGGTACCCCCCCGTAATGGGAGTGGTCCATGCCCGGCGCCCCGTTGGCGTACTCGGGGCTGTAGGACAGAGCCATGCTGTAGTCGGGGGGAGACATCTCCGGGTGGCTGCTGATGAGCCAGCCGTGGAAGTAGGGGTTCTCCTCGTGGCCACAGCGGGTGGCGGCGGCGGCAGCGGCAGCGGCGGCGGCAGCGAAAGGGTAGCCCTCATGGTGCACCACCGGGTGGTGGGGGAAGCCGCCCACTAGACTCATCCCCGCTCCCTAGAGCACCCCACCCCGCCCCCCCCGGGCCCCAAAACAAAGGTTTCCCCTCCCCGCCCGCCCCCCACCCCCGTCGCAGCGGCGGGAGATGCTGCCCGCCGCTCACCCCTCAGCACTGCCCCGCTGCCCGCTGCCTCTCCATAGGGCGCTGCTGCAGAGTTCCCGCGGGTGCCCGAGCGATCCCCCCTCCCCGGGCGCCGCCGCCGCCGCTCATGCGTTGTGCCTCCTCCTCCTCCTCCTCCTCGCCCCGGGCCGGGTCTTCGAGGAAGCGCGCACAGAAAAAAAAAAAAAAAACAAAAAACCAAAAAACACCAAAAATCTATGGAGAGATGTCGACCAAAACAAAATGGCTTGGCTTCCCAGCTTGGGATCTTCCTCGCCTCTTGCTTCCCTCCGCTCTCGCCAAGTCCGCCGCGGCCCGGCCGGGTGGTACTTACACGCGGCCCCCCTCCATGCGCCCCCGGCTCGGGGCGGGCGGGCGGGCGGCGCTGGCTCTGCCCTGCGCGGCGGCGGGGCCGTCAGTGCTGGGCGGGCGCTCGCATCTCTGCCCGCCGCGCCGCGCGGCTCAGCGCCCCGGCGCTCCTCTGCGGCATCCGCGCCGCTCGGCCGGGCGCGGCGGCGGCGGGCGGCGGCGGGGCTCGGCGCGGCGCGGGGCACTGGCAGGGCTCCCCGGCCCGATCTCCATGTACAGCTACATGTTTAGGGCCGCTCGGGTTAATATATGTCGTCAGAAGCGGCGGCCGCCAATGGCCGGGGCGGGGGCGGAGCCCGCCGCCCTCCGCAATAAAACTTTTTGATGTTCGCTCTGCTAATTGCCGAGCTCCTCTTTTAGGATTGGCTGCCCCTCCGCATCCCTAATGTAATTAAAACAAGGGGGGGAAAATTATCATGGAGGCAGAGGTTAATGCAAGTGTTTAGCAGATGCCTTACAGTAAAATCTGCATTAAAAAAAAAAAAAAGAAAAAAACCCAAACAACAACAACAAAAAAAAAACCCCAACAAACTCTTTAAAACTTAAATATCGGATAATCTCAAACCAGGTACAGTATAGATCCAAGAAGTTTCTTGGCAAAAGTCGATGTGAGAGCTTGATAGATCTGAGGTTGCTTTGGCAAAAGTGCTTTGTGCCGGTCCGGTAGAGGAACAAATAAAACCGGCTTCGGAGGACACTTCATCGATGCCCGATTGCGACAGGCATGTCCCAGCAGCGCTCCGGCTTATACTCGTATTGCTGGTTAATACACATCACGAGATCACTAGTTTCCGTGGGGAGGGAGGCGAAGCTGCTCTGCCTCGCCTGTCACCCGGCTTGCGGTCCGGGCTGCGCGCCTCCTGGCTGACCGAGGCAGAGAAGCGCGCGGGGCTCGGACGGGGATGGTTTTGAAATAATTGTTTTGAGATATTAATAATAAGTCCGACTCTAACTGATTTTTTTTCCAGCTTACTGCCTGCACCTAAGCACCTCCACCAGCCTTCACTCGAGTGACTCGCGCCTGAAGTCGGTTTCATGCTTCTTGAACTGGTATGATCGGTAAGTAACCGAATATTTTTTACAGCATGTTCCGAGCTAATTTTCTAGCTTTTACTAACAAATATATAAATATTTCTCAGCATTCCTGCTTCTGCAATAAAAAGGACCAGCATCAGCGGAAAGCAGGTTTAGTTATCGAAAGGGAGTAGTTAAATGTTTGCTTAACAGCCAGGCCAAGGAGGAAATCTCCTGTAGCTATTTAGGTGCTTTGCTTTAGTAAGCTTGAATATATTAAAAAAGAGAAATGAATCTCAAACTGTAACTCATTGATAACTCGGAGGCGAGGTGCATTTGTTGTCATCCTCAAATGGAACCGAGCATTGCTAAATAGCTGCGAAATACAAAATACCCACCCTTATTTGTTCTGGCTGACGCCTAGGCTGATTCGGCGTATATTGTAATGCAGTTCTGCAATATAGGCAGTGTGGAAAACTGTGTCAACAGGAACTGAGAGGTCATAAATTAAAGAAAGAGAAAGACAGAGATGGAGGAGTCTGCGAAAGAAGGCAGCAAAAACTGTGGTCCAATTTCTGCAGTAGCTTAATGCGCTCTCTGGCTCCTCTGCAGAGGCTGTGGGGGTACCTCGGGGGAAGCATTGGGTGGTGGGAAGAGGGCGAAAATCATCCCGATGGGCATCGAGACGGGAGAGGAGGCAGGCTGAGCTCGGGCCGTCCCGGCGTGGAGAGGGCTGCCGATGGTTCACGGCGGCTTGTTGGCAGCCGGGGGCTTTGCGAGTGGCTCTGCCGGCTCTCGGCGAGGAATGCCCTGCAGGCAGTGGACGGTCTCCACGGATGAGGCCGTCCGCCAAGGAGCAGCCTGCTGCGGTACGCGGGAGCTGGCTTCGTCGGGGAAATGCTAAAGATGGGGAAGAGTGCCGGCCCCGCGGTTCGGCAGGACGGGGAGTATAGAGTCGGACCCGGAGAGGAGACGTGCACGGAGCACAGACATGCAGGCGTAGGTTTTTATAAGCATATACACATATGCGTGAGCGTCTGGGTGTAAACTGAGTACGAAAGTGAAAAACTAGTCCAGATGTAGAATTGATGTATATTACACGTATATCTTATACGTGCACACACTTACTGGTAGCCAGCTGATGGATATCTGTATCTATATACGTACAAGCACACGTGTATGTATTGTGTTAGACCAAGGAAAGAATGTGTCTGCAGTGTGGATTTTTAAATGTAAGGAAGGTTGTGGGCAGACCGTGCAGGCAGAGCCCTGGAGCGGCCAGGCAGCGTGCCCCCGCCGCTCGGGATGATATGTCTGCAGGGCGCAGCCTGGAAATCCACCCAGTTTCTTCCGCGGTTCTCCAGCTTTGTTTTGCTGCGATATATTCTTGATGGGAAGAAGAAGTGGACATTGTCAAGGCCGGAAAATTATTTTGGCTTGCAAACAGATGTGTGTTTCTTTACACTTTCCCTGTTTGTGTACGAGCTTTCCGATACACTGCAGGTTAGACTGCAACTGTGACAGTCTCTGTGACAAGACACTACGGCCGCTCTGATAACATCTCCAATGATGAAGGAAACGGAAAACATGAGACAGAGAAAAAGTAATAAAATGTACAGGAGATATCGATCAGAACACCAGTCTCCAAAGCTAGCATCGTGATTGCTTAATTAACTTTGGAGAAAGAGGATCTCTAGATAAAGCAACCAGAAGGATCTTCCATATATATGTATATATTTTCCCCTCTTATCCCAGCAGTTATTTATGAGTTTTACAAAGCGAGTTTTAGAGCAAATGCAACTCTCTTGTCCTCCCTCAGCTTTTAAATGCTCAGGATTTCCTATCATGAGTTGTAGTCTTTTCTGTTTGATCCACACGTTGAAAAATGCTGCAGCTCAAAGTACCTTTTCGAATACTATGCTCAAAGTCCGCTAAAAGCACCATCATTTTACCAATCTTACACTTAATTATTTTATTATAATTTTTTTGTTGTGCACAAATCATATGGTAAAAAAGAAAAAACCAAGAAAAAAAAAAAACAGAAAATAAAAAGAAACCCTAGTCTTATGTCACTTTATTTCCCTGCCAAAATAGTTGCATGTTAGGCGGCGATTTATTTGGATTCTGCTGCCAAACAGGACTCTCTTAGCTTGCCATAATAAAGAAATTTTGGTGGAGACTGTGCCGAGGCTGGTTTTCTCTTCCCCTATCCGTTTTTAAAAATTGTTTTAATCTTATTTTATTTTATTTTTTTCGGGAGTCGGTGTGTGTGTGGGCTGTATCGTTAGGTTATGCCCTGCGGTTCTTGCCCCTCCAGCCCTGCAACTCTCCGCGGGGCCGAGCGAGAGGAAGGGGCTGCCCTTGCCCCCCGGTGGGTGCCCGGCGCGCCCGGGGAGCGGGGCCCGGAGCCGCGGCGGGGGGCGGCGGGCCGGGCGCCCGCTCCGCGCCGCCGGGGCCACCCGCTGCCCTGCCCCGGCGCTCAGTCGCCGCCGGGCCGCTTATCGCCAGGTCACTTCTCTCCTCCGGGCCAAGACCAGGCTGGGAGTCGGGATAACAGAACAATAGAGCTGTGCTCCCCCCTTCTCCCCCCCGGGCTTGTGTGAATTAAGCTAAATTGCAAATTAAGCTAATTTTTCCGAATCAGTCGGGGAAAACCGTATGGAAACGGGGAAGAGATGCCGACGCTGGGTGGTCGGAAACCCACATCTGCTGGGGACTCCCGGGCTGGCTGACCTGAGAACACTGCACTGGGCCAGGCCCTGTGAGGAGCAGGCCAGGGGCAGAGAGGCGCCTCACCGGTGCTTGGGCAGCCAGCCCGCTCATTTGTTTCTTGACCGCACCTTCCTTTTGAGGAGCGTCCGAAACCGGGGGGACGATTATGGGGACAGGGCAGCGGCGGGGGCCGCAGTCACCACTGAGGTGCCCGGTACCGACGCCAGACGTACCCATCCCTGCTCCGTGCAGCAGCACCAAGATCTCCCTCTATGATTTTCATTAAAGCCAAGAAATAATCAGACACACGAAAGCACCCCAAGGGCACCCCGTACTTTGCTTTTGAGGCGCTACCCGGGCCGTGTCTCCTTCCCGCAGCCCCCTAAGTACCGGGGTGCCGATTCTCTCTCCTTTCTCCCGGCTGCCCACCACATCGCTCTACCACCCTGTGCACGGCTTGAAAAGCCGAGACGGGTTTGAATTTATAGAGTGCATGATGTCATTGACCCGGGACCAAACGTATCAGAAAGGGGTATCATGCTCGGATGGATTTGGGGATGCTGGAGCATCCCGTGTCCCAGGGATGCGATGCATCCTATATTTGGGTCGTCGCTTAGGAATTCATCAAAGAGCATAAACACGCAAGAAAAGGGATTTTTGAAAAGAGGCATGGAGAAATATGATTTGGAGGTCAGTGCGGGTTAATGAAAAGGACTTGTGCCTAATGGGTCTGGCTTGCACCCTCTCTTGTGCTCACACAACCTGTATTTCAACGCCCAGGGCAGAGGGCGGATCGGGCCCAGAAGGCCCGAATTAATCGCTGCCCTTGGAGGTGAAGGAACCCTGGTTTACGTTACTATTATCGGTAATGAACGCCCACATATTTCAGGCATGATAATCTCGCAGCCGTTGTGTATTAAAAAAAAAATAGACCAGGGATGAGAAAAACCCAAGCCACCAAGACACTGACCATTTCGTAAGTCGCAATGATTGGCAGTAAGCGCGGGACCCTACGCGTTTTAGCGCTGCATGTGCAAGCAATTATTCGAGGTTTGCTTATATTTGTGACTGAGCATCCAGAGTTGCATTTAGACCCTGGACAGGAATCAGGGAAAGAAAAGAAAAACATAACGAGTTCCAACCAAGAGCCCTTCTTTGTCAGAAGAATAGTAATAAAGACCTTACAAAATTCTGCAGTGAACACAGTCTGTCTCTATTTATTGGAATTGTTACGTGCATCTCCTATACATGCATGCATGTATAAACACGAACACGCTATTTTCCCAGTTAATATTTGTTTGTATTCCCGGGAAAGAGCATCTTACGAGTTGGACTCTGATGAAATAGCTCGCGAATGTAATTGCCTTCATTAACGAATATTTTGTCATCCAGCATCTGAAGTTCAGACGGTGGAGGAAGAAGAAGGCTAGGCTGGCATCGTTTTGTGTTTAGGTTAACAAAAATCAACACTTCTATTGGCATCGTTTTGTGGTTAGGTTAACAAAAATCAACACTTCTATTGTCATTCTTCATGGAAAGTCTCCATTTAACGAGGCTGGGGTTTAAGAAGCCTTCATAGATCAAAGGTAACCTCGCTTGGCTTAAGAGAAAAGTCCCTCTGGAGCAGTGAAAATTAGCTGCAATTTGGCCCTAACTACACGCCCCAAAATGTCGGTGTCGTCCTGTCCGTGTCCCTCGCGCCGTATACCTGCTGCACTGCACCCTGCTCCCGCTTCCCGGGATCGGCTGCAGCACACGGGCTCGTCCGAAAATTCCGCAGCTGAGTCCTACAAATGTCGGCTGCACACTTGTTGCAAGCATCAGCCCGTACCGCAATTCCTATATGCGTATCTCGGTGTAATTGATCTGGCTGAGTGAGGTCTTTTTGGTAATTTGGATACACCAAGTCTCCAGTTAATGACATATAATCAGCCTTTAGGTCACTTGGTCATTCTCTTATTACAAACCCCTCCTGCTCTCTCTGATCTCCTTTCAAACTAAATTTCACACAAACAAATAAAGCAAGACAGGGACAAGTCCTTAAAATGCAAGAGTGAAATATTGGAGAATTGCTCTTGGGGAACTATAAACATTTTTTAAAAGAAAAAAGCGAAAAGATAGGACAGAACATCTTATCGAGAAAGAGAGCATTGTGTACAAAACACGGAGGGAAAACCGGTCTGGCTTGTGTTAAAACTGACATAAAATTAAAATAAAATAATTACAAACAGAAATGCTATAATGTAAACAGAATACAGGAGATTTTACTAGAAACGCACGGCCGCATACCGTAATTTGTTCGTACAGACGATGCGATGATATAACCTATTTGTGGATACACAAAATGTTTATTTGCTGCGCTTTAGACGGAAAACCAAATTTCTTTATTCTTCTTTTCAGGAAAGTTAAGAAGCCGGAAAACTGAGGAGTGAATGTCATGTACCTCCCCAGACCTGGAGGGAAACGGAGCTCAAGCCAAAAGGAGTGGGTGTAAATGCGACAACAAAAATAAATACTTTATATCACCCTGCAGAACTTATTTTACTAAGTCAACACTTTGTTTTTCTGCAGTTCACCTTTTCTTTCCCCTAGGGAGAGACAATGCTCACTTGTTACTAGGTATTCCCTAAAAGTTTATTTTGATCCCCGTCCAGGTGTGTGTATACATACATACATACATATATATATATACATACATACACACATATATATATATACACAATCAACAGGCTGAGGTTCAGATGTGAGCAGAGGCTGGTGCGGTGACCGGGAAGAGGGGCGATCAGATGCTCTAGGTAAGAACCCAGGGCCCTACAGGCTGCGGGCAACTCACTGCAAAGCCAAGCCCCGTTGTTCGGATCTAAAGTTGACTTATAAAATCGAGAACGAGGAGATACCAATGTCGTTCAAGTGTCAGCGCTTTGAGAAGGCAGCCTGCAGAAGAAGACTGCGATCCACATTCCCTCACAGGCATTAGCGCCTTCCAAAATATTATCGACATTTTTACCGGCGGTCTCATTCGTGTGTAATACGGGGTTCAGGCAGGCGCTAATTGAGCACGAAGCGTGTGCGAGGTTGCGAGAATGAGTGTCGGGGCAGGCTCACACAGCAATAGAAATGGGAGCGATGGATCGAAGGAAAGGAGTGTCACAAGCCCGCGCGTGTTGGTGTGACACATCTCGTTATTAGTTCAATACGTTCCCTGCCTTTTCGGGATTGCTAAGGGCCGTTTTGATTTTTTTTTTTTTTTCTCCCCCAAGCCGGCCTTTGGGCTACTGCGTTGAAGCATCAGCCCGTAGCCTCATGGCGATCCGACCCACTACATCAAAGAGCGGTGCGGGTCAGGGCCCCGACGCTGCTCTCCTCTCGGGGCGCACGCTCGGGGACACGGGCCGCCCCTCCGGGAGCCGCCGGGGACGCTCAGCCCTGCCCCGGCACTGCCCGGGCGGGGCTGCCGGCACCCCTCCCGCCGGTGCTGGAAATGCAGAGGCCGAGGGGAGGCGGCGGGCTGGCCCCCTGCCCACCGCACCTCACGGGGCGGCGGCCCCGCCGGGCTGGGGGCGGCTGGAAAGGGTTAAGCGCTTCCCCTCCTCCTGCTGCAGCCCCCTGAATGCCACTGCTTTCCTCTAGAGGTCTCATTAGGGAAACCCTAACTGCTATTTTCAACGTTTCCTCAATCAAGCGCCTTTAAATAGAGCTCCACAAACAAATTGGCGGCAAAAAGCGCAGATCTTGTCACGGGCGAGGCCGATTCAATATTTCACCTTGTTTGTTTTGTAATTACAGCCTGGCTTGTGGCTACCTGCACGCTGGGGCGAGTTTCCCTTGCCAGCCCCCCCGCCCGCCCCTGCCTTCCCGCCTCTGCCGTACAGCCTCGCAGACACCTTTCCCTGGGCTGGGAATCGAGCGGCACCGCCCGGGGAGCCACTGAGCGAGTGACCTCCGTCAAAACTAAAAAATCACCCGCGATCTCCCGGGCTAAATTTTTTTTTTTTTTAATTTTTTTTTTTTTGGCGTGTTTTGCAACGTCTGCTCTGAAGCCACGAGTTTTCCAGCAGAGGGGACTTTCCCCGAGAACCGCCTTGCCCCCTCATGACGGGGTCAGGGAGCCGGCGGGCGGCCCGCCTGTCCCCAGGCAGGGCAGTCCGAGCAGCTGCTTTTATCTGCGGCACTCGCTCCCTCTCTCGCTGTTAAACCGCTCTTATGATTTGTTATATTTTCCACAACTGATTATTCTTGTTTGACTGTTGTACAGAGCCGCTTTAAATCTTCGTCAGGAAGAATAAAAGTTGTAACTGCTCGGACGGGTTCCTGCCGACTTGCGGGCTGGTGCGGGTCCACCTCGGTCACTGCACACCGAGCCCTCTGAGCCGCCGGGGCTCGATAAGCCTCCTTCCTGCGGCTCGGGGCGGCGGCATCAGCACAGATCGGAGCTAATTCGATTATGTCTGAAAGTCGGAGTGTAACAGAGAAGAATTCGGCGTTTATGAACTAAGCTGCTATATTTGCTTTACTATAAATCAACGATAATATTTTATGATGGAGGGGAACAGTGCAACGCAAAAAGGAAATATGACAATAAATCTCTTTTTATAGATTCTCTTTAGCAGCAAAACTTAGGATTCAACGGTTTTATGACTCAACAGTTTTGCAGGTACATCTAAAGATGCCTACACAGAAAATAATAACTCTTATTCCCTCTCCCAGCCACCCCTGGAACACAGAAATCCAACCCTGTGCCCTTCGGTTCAATGACAAAATTCCCTGAGATTTTCGTGGGAGCAATGCTGGCATAAGAGTTTACATCTGACCACTGCACGGATATGCTTTGATTATTTATGGTGCCACTGGCATTACTGGTAAACCTTTCATGGTTTATTGATACACAAAACTTCTCGTCAGAAGTAATGCTCTACTTTCGATCTCAGAATGAACACATTAGGCTGTTTTCTTTCTAGTTACTGTAATATTATTAAGGTTTGAGATAATTGAGGAGTCCATAGAGCTAAAATACGGCTTTAGTTTTGAAGGGATTTTTTAAATGGGAATGACTAGCACGCTAAAATAAAGATAAGTACTTCAGGGAGAGGATTTTCAAGTGGTAAAGAATCTAATGTTCCTTGAATTAAGTGCAGATTCTTCACTTTGAAGATTTAAACCCAATATGTTTTTTCAGAGTCATGTTCCACTGTAAAAAACCCCAAAAACAGTCACACATCCTCGAAGTGTTTTGTATAATGCAAACATATTTGCATCTAAGGTGCTAAGCATATGCTTTTTACCTGTCTCCATGCCTTGTTTTAATTCTTTCTTATGACCAAGTCCTGATATTTCTTACCCTAAGCACCTAGATCCAGATTAAGTCACCTAAAAATCAAAGAATAATTGGTAGGTCCAGTGATCTGCAGCTGGGCTGCAGTGATTTGGAAGTGTAGATTTTGAAACACTTGCTTCACATATCACACAGTACCGAGCTTTTCCTATCTCAGCCTGCACACATACATGAAGTATGGCACTCTAAGACACTGGTGACTAGAAGTCTAACAGTATGAAAGTAGAATGCAGATGCAGCATATGCAGTTAAACATATTCTTTTCAAATAAGTCCTTTTAGTAAAACTTTTTTTTCCCCCCTGTGTGTGCGTTGTTTTTGTTTGTTTGTTTGTTTTTGTTTGTTTGGTTTTTTTTAAAAAATAAATCAGGCAAGTGCATTCAGAGATTTGATTTTATTAAGGAAAGTTGCAGAACAATCAGTTCAGGTATGTCAATCTAAATAATGTATGGAACAACATTTACAAAAGACATCCGTGAGAAAAAGATCATAAAAATTTACAAATACAAACCTCAGGAGTACAAGTTGTTCTGCTTAAGCCAAATTTTTGTCAGAGTGACGCCTATTTGTATGAATTGAAGTTGTGCATGTGCCTACTGTTGGTGGAAAAAATCGTACATAGTCAAGGTAGCTTATCTACCATTACCAGTCTTGCTTAGGGAGGCAGACCACAGGGCAGGCTGGTTTTACTGTTTTCCACCGAGAAAAGCAACCTGGACTGAGCTCCATTCTGTTACACTAGAGGACTGCAAGCATTTTTTTGCAGTCACTTCAAGGACGGCTACACTAGCCTGCAGTCTGCAATATGGACAGAGTAGTGGGAAAAATGAGTACTGCACATGCACACACCTTTTTTTTTTTACCAAGGTCTCTGCCCTGCATAGCCTGGAGTCCACAAAGGGCTTCCCCTCTTTCCATTTGTGTACTATTCATAAAGATATGTCCTAGCTTGTAAAAACAGTACATTTTGTGTGATATGTTCATGCACACATCTGGGCTGCATGTGTGGAAAAGTAAAGGCACACACTACAAAAAATTTTACATGTGCAATTTTCCAAGTATGGGTCTATGGATCTATAATATAGCACATCTACAGTGAAGAAAATGTCATTCTTCTGCAGAGGAGGACATTTAAAGTGGCTTTCAAAGAAAAACAAAAAAAAAAAGAAGTGTTCTTGGTAGCACTATTAGTAGAAGTTTATTTCTCCTGGTTGCTCCTTGATGTTTTCTGCAAACCAACTACGATGAAGCATTACTCCTAAACAGCAACATGCACTCAGTGATCAGAATATTTCAGATATTCATTACTATAGGCTGATGTAATTAAAATTAAAAACATCTGCTTTGAGGAATGCAGATTTTTTGGATGTAAATACTTCTACTCCCACAGTAGTTTCAGCTACTCAGAGAAGCAAAACGTAATGCCAAACAGTCGTCGTATTGTTTGACACAGAAGCAAATGGAACAATGTTGCTCCTAATGTTGTTGTTATTCAGTGGACAATTGAAATTGGATAAAGGCTTTCATCTGGGAACACTTTTCTAATACCTCTGTAGGTAATGGGAGTCCTATTGCCCTGCATACTGGGCAAGGTTCACCCCCATCTCGCCAAGACAGCTCCTGAAGAGAGGAGTTTGTGCCTGCGATAGGTTTTTAAGTGCTTGTCTGTTATCAGTTCACCGACACGGTTTTGCAGCTGAGGAGAGCGGAGAATGGAGCCCCAGCTGCTTGTGCGTCTGATGCTATCGCCTAATCCTGATTAAAGGCACCGTGGGTCAGAAATTCCTCTGCAAAGCCACGTGAGAGAAAACTCCTCCCTTTTGCACGCCGCGGAAAGGTCGCTGGGAATATCTTCGATAGTTGTGTCAGCTTCTCTTACACTGAAGCTGAGCTGGGCATGCTGGTTTAAGAAAGAGTAATGATGTGTACTGGCTACCACACAGCACACTGATTGCTGTGCTAATCACATGTGTGCCACCAATAGCAAAGGTGGAGTTGCACCCAGTACTGCCGTATTTCCGTGGGGTATTTCGTCCCTTTTGCCAGTCAGGCTGACTCTAAATAGAGAAAAAAACCCACCAGATGGGGGGTTGCAAATGGGAAGTATCTATTCTGTTGATATGGGAATAAAGGAAAATGGAAGATAATCCGGGGGAGGACATGTCCATAAACGACATGTACTGCATGACTGAGAAAGCACTGTGACAT